TAGAGCACTAAGGCATCCTGCTAGGAGACACCTGAGAATATCTCATGTGGGTGAGCCCAGAGGTCTCCTGAATAGCAGTAGAAAGTGCATGATGCAAATCAAATGAAGTGTCACATTCTGTAGCACTCAAACTCATGATGTCATTGCACTCTATTGTATCTTCTAGAAAGCCTCCCTGACAGCAGCCTAAGGAAGCAGGAAGCTGGAAAAGCAATTAGACCATGGGAAAAGAAGAAAAACGCATAACATGACATCGAATATGCACAGACAGAAAATTTTTACAAAGCCTTCCTGGCTGAAAACCAGTCTTAATTTCTGGTTTTGAGAGTGAAGTGACATTAAATTTTGGAGACCAGATCTATCATAACAACCAGGTAAAGCAAAGGAATTGGGATATCTTCTTCAAAGTAATTCTGACTTCTTATGCAACAGACTTGGACTGTTCTATCCAACTGGGCTTGACTGGATGCCTAGAAACATACTTGGTAGCCTTTGAGATACCCTGGGTTATGCTACTTGGCCTCCAGCTGTAGGCCAGCTGGAATTGCAAGGTTTCCTCTGCATGCTATTTTGCACCTGAAAATTCTGTATTTTTGTAGCCCAAACATCAGAAACATCCTAAATGGCACCAGTTTCTTGCCAAAGACTAAACCTACTGCCAATATCCTTATGCAAGTGACTTGAGCCTTTAGCTCAGGCTTGAGACACTTCAATGTGGGTGTCTAGATGTAAGCATCACCATGAGAGCTGATGGATGAAGAAAGGTTCAGCTAACTAGGTAGCTGGACTGTGGTCTTCCCAGAAGACCCACTTCTGACATCAACATCAACAACTTTTACCAGCTCTGAGGACGCTTGGACTGCCAAATCCCTTCTACAGCTGAAGGAGATACCACTAAGAGGCTGTCTTCATAATTTTCTCTAACCATTCATAAAAAGATGACTCGATCTCCTTTTTTTTATTTTATTTTTTAATTTTTTAATTTTTTAATTATTATTATTATTATTATTTTTTTTTGTAGAGACTCATAGAATAATTCAGATTAGAAGGGGTCTCTGGAGGGCTCCAATCCATCTCCCAGATCAGAACGGGATCAACTCCAATGTTAGGTATTGACTACCATCTGTCTTCTTTCTAACTGCCCTTCCGGTATTGCCAAAAGATTTTCCCCCATGGTTTCTTTGAGCTGAAAAAATCTTGTTTTTCCCATCTCTTCCTCATATACTCCAGCCCCACTGAACATGCTCCAGTTCATCCACATCTCTTCTGCATTAGGAGGCCAACGGCTGGACACAGTATCCAGATATGGTGTTAGAGGTGCCAAGCAGAGGGGAAAAATAGCATGCATTGATTTCTCAACTCAGATTTTGTGAATGTAGCTGAATATTCAGCTAGATTTCATTCTCACTGGGTCATGATGTTGATTCATGAACAACTTCTTGTCCACCAGTATCCTCAGGTCCTCTTTAGCAAAATCACTTTGGCAAAGCTATGGTCAAGTAGTTCCCAGACTAGACAAGCTTGTTCTCTCCAAAGTGCAGATCTTTCTTTGCTGAACTTCATGAAGTTTCTGTAGGATCATTCCTTTACTGTGGGATATCCCTTTGAATAGCAGCTTTGTCCTAGTATGTCAACCACTGCTTCACCTGGTATCATCTGCAAACATGGTGAAGGCTCTGTCCCACCACCCAGATCACAAATGAAGGGCTTAAATAATGCCACTCTCCCAGTACCAACCCCACAGTAACAAAATACAACTTAAATACAGAAATTTAGCTAAAGCAGTATGCAGCTTGCCTTGGCTTTCATTCTGCCCTTATTCCTCCACACTCTACTTTCTTATTCATGATTTCATCCTAACCATTCCACCCTTGTTCCTCTTCCAAATTCCTGATTTAGCTGTGCTTATTCTCCTTCTGTTCTCCTCACCACATGCATCCTCTTCAGTCATCCGTTGCAAAACTCCTTCTCCTTGGTGACTTTCCTGCATGAAAATGGATTTCCCTTCTTCTCTCCTCTTGTTGCCAGGTCCCCAAACTCTCCTCGCCACCCTATTTTATGGAGAAGTTAGAAACAGTGGAGATTAATCTCTTCTGTTTTCATCTTCCAGAATGTTTCTTCATAAACGTATGTTTCTTGATGTCACCTTTGCTGTTTGCTGTTGCAAAATTCATTCACTCTCCTGGGTATGGTTGTGATATCAAAGGAACACTGGATATCACTTCTGAACCTGGAAAGTGCATGTCTTTGATGTAATGAACGCTACAACTGAACAGGAGGAGAACATCTGTAGAACTAACCTGGCTCTGCATGACAAGAAAACTGAAAAAATATCATGGAAGAAAAGTGATTCTCCCTCTCCAAGTTGCAGGTCTGTCCCCTTATATTTACCAGTATTTTATTTAGTACCATGTTGCATTGGTCATGAAATGCTTTTGCATGTGAAAGAAGTTGTGTAATTTGATAGCCTTCCTAGAAAGCTTTTATCTGCTTATGCAGTTTCTTTTCTTTCTGTTTCAGTTTCACCTCATTGGTGAGTTGGGGAGCAGTGGGTAATTACTACTCACTTTTAGCTCTCTAGGATGCTTTTCATTTTGGAGAGTATTACATCAACACTTTTTTAGTTTCCCTGTCCCATTGTTTCCTCCTCAATGGCTCTCAGCTCCTCTCATCCCCATTTCCTTCTGTTTCTTGGCCAACTCTGCTTGGCCCCTCACCAAGCCATGACCTATGAGACTAAAATCTGCTCCATCTGGATAGTTGTGATGCTGCCAGAAAGCTGCAGACCCTCGAGTTCATTTTTCTTCATTCCCTGTGGTTAATCCTCATCTTTTACCCAAGTGAAGCTAGGTGAATAACTGCTCTGTGAATGATGGGGTATTTAACTCGCCCTTCTGAGAGCAGACCACAGGGCAGAGGAGCCACTCGTCAGTAGCTTTGCTGTATTTCAGCTCTTCAGATACTCATAACACTGACATGGTAGGCAACTATCATTAGCAAGGAGATTCTCAAGTGAATGAAGGTGTGTACGAACCTCTGCAGTTTAAGTCTTGTTGGGAAATGTGCAAGACATACTTGAGAGGTCTGGTTTTGAGAGGAGAATGCAGAAACACATAATGGTTGGGTTGGTATCATAGAATAGCTTAGTTTGGAGGGTTTCCAACCACCCCTGCCATGGATAGAGTTACTACTCACCAGCTCAGGCTGCCCAGGGCTTAAGCCAGCCTGGCCTTGAGCACCTCCAGGGATGGGGCACCCACAGCTTCACTGAGCAGGCCATGCCAGGGCTTCACCACTCTCTGAATAAAAAAATTTCTTCCAGGTCTAACCTAAATCTTCTCTTTCAGTTTAAAACCATTCCTCCTTTTCCTAACACTGTCTGGCCATGAGAGGGACCCAGATTTTTGGATAATTTGGCTTTTTACAAGATGGGCCAGGTGCAAGATGAAAATGTTGAAATGTCTGAAATAATCATTGGTCACTTCTGAAAATCTTGATCAATCTGCTTCACACAGACAAGCATGAAACAGAAATATGCAGCCACTGATACTGCAAGCTATTTGTGTTGAAGAAGATTGTTCAGTGAAGTCTGATAATTTAGATTGAATGAACTTCTTCTCTGAAAGAGTGATCTTTCCATGGATGACCAAACCAGTCACAACTTGCTGAACTTTCAGTGTCCCACTCTGGAAGTTCTCCATTACCTCACTGTTTTACATCTCTCTGATCCCCCTGCAGAGAATCGTTTTTAGGAACAAATTACAGGAACCACTTAGAATCTCATGTGTAGCAATTGTGTGATAGAAAATACATGAAAGAGATCTGTTGTTCTACTCCACAGGCAAACTTGGAGAGGAAGTTGTGTGCTGCTTGCAATGGCAAAAAAGTTGCATTTTCTTCATAAATCTTCCACATCCTAGAATCCCAGAAAGACATTTCTTGTGTTAGCACAAACTCCCTTTGCATAAGCAGATGTTGTTGCAGGGACTTTATGAAAGAGAAATATACAAGAGGAATTTAGAAGTGGAATCTATTCTTTACCCTCTTACTCTCTTTAAGAGAGTGGTGAGGTGCTAGAACAACTACCCAGAGAGCTGTGGATGCCCCGTCCATCCCTGGAGGTGTTCAAGGCCAGGTTGGATGGGGCCCTGGGCAGTCTTTTATAGTATTAAATGTGGAGGTCGGTGGCCCTGCATGTGGTAGGGGGTTGGAGCTTCGTGATCCTTGAGGTTCCTTCCAACCCAAGCTGTTCTATGATTCTATGATTCTGTAAGGATGTAAACCGAGATTACAAAATCAAAGCTTACCTGTATCTTTCCAATTTACTGAGACAGCATGGATGAATGGTGGAAAGATGTGTAATGTAAGAGTAATAGCTAGATTTGGTGCAGGAACAGATACTTTAATGTTTGAGCTTCAAGATTTGGGGCTAACATATCTGTACCTATTTTGAGGAATAAGAGCATTGAATTCTTCAATTTCTCCCAATTTTCCCTCTTCTAACTCCTTTATTCACATTTCCTTTCCCTCACACTCCTCATCCCATTTAAAATAACCAAATTGGCAAGAACAGGCTCATGTCACTTCTCACTTGCTTATGTTGCTAACAGAGAAATCCAAATGAGCCATGCTGCATGTTACTCCTGGGGCCTATTCCTCGAGAAAGCTTTTCTGCTCCCATGGAAGTCAATGGAAGCCTAATTGGTCCCAGATGTTTAGTAATAACAAGCACTTCCTTTTGGTACAGCCAAAAAAAAGCAGTGTTAAAACTGTTAATTAAATGGGTTTGGCTCTGTCGTCAGGTTATTAACTAATTCCAGTCGTGGCAGTCGAGCTAAGACTGTGCCTCAGAAGCAGATGTTATCTTACTGTGCTCAATAAGAAAAGCATGAACTCAGAATATGGCTAAATTGCCCATGTCGGGGCACACAGCACAGCTTGCTTTCACATCAAAGGAAAAGCTCAAGGACTTCAGCACTGGGCTTCCAACTAAGCCCAGGGATTGTTGCTTGTGCAAACTTTCTCCTGAAAGAGTAAGAGCTTGAAAGAAAGCACAATGCTGGCTCTCATTGGCTTTTCACTGTTTGAGCATTGTCCTGAGCAATGTGCTCTCGATGGCCCTACTTGAACAAGAGGATTAGCCCAAATGAGCCCCTCCAATCTCAACCAACCTGTGATTCTGTGACTCAGTGATTTTGTGATTCGCACATATTGGACCACTATGGCACGGTCCTGCCAAGTAGCTTTGCCAACATCATTATTCCAACATCATTTGTGTACATCTTCATCAGATCTCCTTTACGTTCATTGCTTGTACTCTAATATATATATCCCATCTGGGATTGGAAGTCATAGACCTAAAGTCTGAACACCATAGAAAGAATAGGAAGACGTAACTTTTCACCTGTGGAGTATTCCAAGCTGGTGCTTTAATATCTTCACGTCCCTGTGTATTTTACAAAATTCAAAGGTGTTTTTATTGTATAAAATCCCACAACAGAAATGACCAGCTGGTTACTTACACATCTGCTTTAAAAATAGAATTATACATCCTTCTGTAGTGTGTTAATTTTGACATTCACCAGCACGAAGAAAAAAGTAGTGGAGCAGCAATTTGAATTATTTACCTGAACAGGTTTTGGTTTGACTTTTACTTCTCTTATGTGCTGAAATGCACATTTCCTGGCATTAACAGAGAACCCATTATGGCTCCTTTCAAAGCCACTGGGTCCCGTAGATAGGTCATGCTCCTGCTGTTGGAAAGCTTTTTTTTTTCCACTCCAAAAAGGGTGAATCTGCCATCAGAGTACAGGACATAACGTATGTCAGTGTCTGCTTTTTGCAACACAACAGGTTGATCATATTAAACCCATCACAGATTGAAGATCTACAGACTTCTGCTAGCAACCAGTCCTCAGTAGGGAAAGATAGTGGACCTTTGATCTGAATAATGGCCCAGGACTCAGTTCCCTGCATCTTGTTTCACACTTTCGTGTTCAAAACATGTCTAGCCTCCTGTGACCTTTAAAAATAGATATATAATCATCATCTTTTTGCATTGAAATGCAACTGTATGCAGTGAGTTCCCAACAGTTTTCCTTAGAAATACAAACATTTCAGTCCAAAGATAGCCGATTGAAATTCATTCTCTAAGACTTTTCTTTTAGAAAGCGTCCACCCCAGAGATGAATTTCTTCACATTAAACCCAGTTAAATATGTATTGCACAAGAGGGGCAAATTTCTCCTCTTTGAGTTGAACTGTGGACCTGCGACCTTCTGAGCAAGTCTGGGTTCACACCTGAGATTTCTTTTACAGTGAAAGATTCTGTTTTGGGCTGTCCTGGTGATTTTGTGATTTCATTTTAATGTTTAGGAGATCTCATTTCTGAGGTTTTTTGGAGAAAAAAACCACATACACACACACAAATCTCAGTGTAAGGAGTAACATCTCATAGAGTTAAACTAGTTTGAGAAGGGCTTTCCTATTCAGCTGATGTCATCAACTGGCATAAAAAAAAAGTGATTGCTATAACACTATGGATATCTATAGTGTTGTATGTATATATATATGTATATATGAAGCCTCTCTATGGAGGTGACATCAACAAAGCATCTCTGAGTTTAGCGAAATGTCTCCTGATTTAGAGGGCTTTCTCTTTTGGTCTGGTTTGAATCACATCTCCCTCACAACCACAGGGCTTTACAGAGTCTACTATAGCTCTGTGAACATTTAGGCAGGTCTGCTTGTGAACAAAGCAAATGCAGAATGTGGTAAACTCTCCCTTAACTCCCTGCAACCCTATAGTGGGGTAGTTCAGGGGAGCTGTGAAACTGCCTTAAAATCCACAGTTAAAAGTCAAGGAGAAGAATTTTACTCTTCATTTCTACACGGCGGCAGTGTAGCACCTGATTTCTTCGGTTTTCAAGGCAATCTCTGTGCTATGCTTTAAACTGTTGACTGAAGGTCTGCCTGCGAAAGCAAAAGAACGAACCCACAGCGATGATGATCACGGATAAAACCAACACAACTGTTAATATAATAAGGAAGTTGATTTTCTTTAGATCCTCTTTTTCACAGTCTTCTGGTTTGATGTTCCCAATGTGCATTTCCTCCTGGTATCCAAAGTTCTGGGTATATTGGCACATTAGATGCTCTATGTTTGAGATCTGGACGTTTTTGTTCTGGATCATCAATGACAGCCAAATGTTCCCACAGCAGTTGAGTGGGTTACCAGTGAGATACAAGTTTTTAAGAGAATTTTCTAATGCTAAAATATTGCTGTTCTGTAATGTACTAAACCTATTGTTCCGTAGGTCCAGAACTTCCAGTGGAGAGCCACTGCCCCACTTGGGCAGCCAACTCAGCTGATTTTCAGAGAGGTTTAAGTGTCTAAGGTGACTAAAACAAGGCAAGTCGATATTTAATTCTATCAGGCTATTGCCATGTAAATGCAAGTATTCAAGTGACTGTTCCAGTCCGGATAGCGCGTTAACTTCAATTGTCAACCCCGGGTTCATGGAAAGATCCAAGAAAATCAGGGAAGTCTTGAAGAAAGTGTGTGATGGTAGGATGCTCAGCATGTTGTCAGCTAGAAACAAGTGCTGAAGAGCAGGAGCATCAACAAATGATATGCAACCATTTTCCTCTCCGGCGAGTCTTTGCTTTGCTAATCCTGAGTACATGCTGCAAAGAGTGATGTTGTTGCTCTGTAGGTTGAGCCATCTGAGGCTTGGAAGTCTTGAGAAAATGTCAAATTGGAGGGTTTGAAGATGGTTGTTTTGAATATAGAGCTCCTTCAAATTCCACAGTGTGTCGGCATGTAGGAGGAGGCTCTGCAAAGCGTTGTAGCTCAAATCGAGGACAGTTAAGGAGACCAACGTACTGTCAGAAGTTACTTCAAAAGTCTGTAGACAGTTTTTACTGAGGTTAAGGGTGTGAAGAGACATCATGGATTCAAAGAACTCATCCGGAATGGATTTGATTTCATTGTAGCTTAAGTCTAGGTATACAAGTTGGGATAAATTAAGAGAACTTTTGTTTCTGCTTTGCTTCTGATCAAGAAGATGAAAAGGAGCATCTAGCCATTCATTCTCCATGTAGTCCATTTTATTATGAGAGGATTCAGCTGTGAGCTGAATTAAATTCTTTGATAAATTCAGAGTTACCAGCTTGTTCACCTGAGGGAAGACTGGGAAGCGAAGCAGTTTGTTTTCACTCAGATCCAGGCATCTTAAGCTGTACTCGTCATCTGATGCTGTGGTATGGAAGGATTCAATGCTGTTCCTGCTGAGGTCAAGTATCTCCAACTGCCTGAGGTTAAAATCAGAGATGCAAGTAATTGAATTCATGGAGAGATTCAGTCTGGAAAGATTCAGTAGAGTCTCAAAAGCACCTTCTTCAATTTCCATGATGATATTACTCTGAAGATCTATCTCCATAAGACTGGGAGATCCCTGAAACATCTTGTGTGATATCATTATAATACTGTTACCTGCCAGTGAAAGATAGCGCAGTGCTGGAGCTTGTTTAATGAAATATTCAGCCATCCCATTGTAGAGACTGTTGTGAGACAAGTCCAGTATCTCCACCTTGGGTAAAAGTCCAATCCCTTCTGTCCCAATCTGAGCAAGCTCATACAAGTTGTTATTAGCTAAATTTATTTCCAGCAAACTTGTCATGTGTGCAAAGACTCCAGGCGTGATGAAGCTTATCTGGTTGGAGCTTAAATCGAGGCACTGGAGGGAAGCGTAGAGGGGCAAAGGCATTTCAGGGATGCTTTGTATCAGATTTCCAGATAGATCTATCTTGTTTACATTTGGATGGAGCTCACGAGGGATTTGGTGAAGGTCTTTGTTGTGGCAAAATGCCTGCAAGTTTGCCTGCCAAAAAAAAAAAAAAGAGAGAAAATGGGAGGTCACCTGACAGATGAAAAACATATTTGTGTGAAATTTAAAGAAAATAATATTCAATAACCAGTAAGGTCCATCTCATATAATTTTCTTTGAGCATTCATACATTAAGCACAATCATTCTAATGCTTCTTCGCAGCTAACTGTTAGCACTCCTTTCATTTCATATACCTAACTTAAACCAGTAGAGTTGTATCTGTGTATATCATCTACTACATATTCTCCTTTTTCCCAGGCTTATTTTAATAGTTCCAATTTTCCTCATTTCCATTGTAATCAAGCACTTTTTCCTCACTTCTCATCTTTGCCTTTCTCAGCTTTATTCTAAATCACTCTAATGGATTCTGCAAACTCTATGTGCAAGAAGTGGTACTAAGAAGGGCTCCTCTCTGTTGGCAGCATAGTTCCCAAAGCAGGGACATGGAAGATAAAGATTAGTATGGTACAAATCATAAGCTCTCTCTTTGTTAGTCACGCCCCTCAAGTATTTGATTTTGCCTTCCTTTAGAGCCATGGCTTAGATAAGCAATGTGCCCCTAACAAACTGAGTCGTTCAACTATTCATACACTACTGATACAAACTTCCAAACTCTTTTTGTTTATGCTCTACATAGGAAACCTTTTCCTAAGGCAATAATTCCTATTTCTTCTCATGGGGTGCATTCCTTATGCTCCCTCCATATGCTTCATCCCCATGTATCATCCATACTGGACATAATGGTGTTGGACATTAGGAACAATTTCTCTGAAAGAGTGGTTGGGCACTGGAACAGGCTGCTCAGGGAATTGATGTTGTCAGCATCCCTGGAGGTGTTCAAGAACAGTGAAGATGTGGTACTTAGAGACATGATTAGTGGGCAGTATTGCTGGACAGTTTGACTAGTTGAACTTAGAGATCATTTCCAATCTTAATGATTCTATGCTTGTATGAATGCAGCAGGGAAGACAAATCATGGAAAGCCAGTTTGAGGAGAAAAAGTTATGTGGTGATGGTCACAACTTTTTTCACCCACTTCCCAGCAACAGGGCGGAGGAAAATTCAATTTCATCAACTTCATCTCCTAAATACATGCCTGTTTAATTGCACCTAAGATTGAATCCATGTCCAAAGGAAAATTTGGAATGTGTGTTCATAAGGAACCCTGGCAACACTGAGATAATCATCCTCGCATAAATGTCAAGCTGTATTTTGTTATTAAGGAGAACACACAGCAGTGGAAGGAAGTGGAATGCAAAAGGCTTAGACAGCATTTAATCTACTGGAAGAAAACTCTTGTTATGAATGTATATGGGTGACCGGGTCATGTACTGTTTGTAGAAAGATCAGAAAGAAAGAAAGAAAAAAAAATCTGATGAATTTTAACTTCTGTGAAAAAGAATCCAGATTCCATGACGTAAAGCTCTGCATTAGCTTTTCCAACATTACAGAAACATTAATTTAAAAAAATATTATAAACCATATGTTTCATGTGAGCTTCTAGTTGAATGAAGTGACGGATCTGCTTAGGAGAAGTGGGGCAATGGTCCATATTTTGTGACCCTCTTTTGCATCATGAGAGTTTTGAAGAGCACATAAAAATGTGATGGAGAATTGTAAGACTCATTTAAATGCCAGATATACACAGGCTTCTCCACAGTCCTTCCCGTGGTCTAACCTTCCCAAAGATCTGATTTTCCAATTGGACTTGATGATCTGGGGTTGGACTTGATGATTTTGAAGGTCTTTTCCAACCCAAGCAATTCTATGACTCTGTGATTCTGGGATTAAATCACACACTTTGAGTACACTCTGCACCCTCTGAGTAACCAGCAACATCCATTGCCCACCAATGCCATTCAGGTTTTCATTGAAGGCCATGATGGAGAACTCAGTCCCAATTCACCACTTCCCCACAATCTTGCAAGATTGGGCCTTTAATCTGCGTGCACTGAACTCTCCAAGCGATAAAAGGGTCTGAAAAAATCTGTACCTCACAGTGTCTGATGTTTGTTCCTATAACATTTTACCTCCCGATTTTCATTGGTTTCACTATTTTGATCATCGCTGAATTTCTTTACTAGTCTGTTCTACACCATCTTTTTTCCCTTTTGGGCTCAAATTGCATGAATCTCATTATCCTCAGCACCAGAAGGGAAAAATGAAGTGCATCTCAATGGGACTGAGCAAACAGTGTCTGTTTCTGTGTGTATCTCTCCTTCTCCCCCTGTAGCTCAGTGAGTTGGCTGGAGAAGTTTGTGTCACCCTCATGTTCCCACTTAATCATCTCTGTTGATGCTGTCACTGGATTATTTAAAGCCCATTGGGAGGAGTGTGGAACACTTGGTTCATTTCATGTTTGTCTTCTGGTGAAAAAAATGACCCTACAACTCAAAAGTTGACCATCGTTTGAATTCTGACTCCAGTCCTTCACAGGGTGGAAGTTGTCACCCATCTTAGTGACAGCCCTGCAAACAAAGCAGTTGGATCCAAGGCCTTGTTCCTCTGTATCTTCTCATGGGTGTTGGAGCCAAAGAATTTGGGCTGGAGCTATCTGGGGCCAGCTTGTATGTTCTTTAGAAGTGCTGTCCAGGTAAAGGCTTCACCACACAATGCAATCTGCATATGCATCACGTGTGGGCTGATAACCCATGATAACCAGTATGATATATTGTTGCATGACACTGATGCAAACTAATACAAAATTTTATGAAAACCTTTCCCTTGTATGTTTTATTGGAAGATTTTCTTTGTCAGTTAACGTGAATTAGCAGATGCATCTTTTTTTAGGAGGAAGAACTTGTGAAAAATTCTCTCCTTGGTAGGCAATGTGAGCTAGGAAGAACTTTTTAACATTGAAGCTGCACCTTCTTGTCTTGTAAGGGAGTAGATGGCTGGCTCTGACCTAGCTCAGTAGAAAGGTAATGGCTTTAAGGGACATTTTACCTCCTAAAGCCTTACAAGATCAATGCAACTACAAGAACATGAGCAATGAGATGCCCAGGTCTCTGAGTTACGCCTCTTCCAGGAGAACTGGGATGAAACTTTCCAATTCTGAGCCTTTCTTATCTTAAAGGTGCCACTGCAGGGAAGGTAACATGTAAAAAAAAGATGCTGTGATAAAAAATCATTCTATGAAATAAGTGGAAGTCCCAGTGGGCACATCAGCAAGCCCAGGAACCTCTTTATGCTGCATGGAAATGTGTTTAGATTTACACCCTCCTCCTTCCATTGGATGAAATGCTCAGCAAATGAAGAGTGCCAAAGCTGCACTGACTTTAACAGTGCTGAGCTGTTAATTTATACCAGATGAGCATCCCAACCCCCAGCTGTGGCCAGACCTGAATTTATCCCAGACTCATTGCGTACAGCCTTGGATTTTTGGCCTGTGCAACTGGCCTGTTGGAAGCAGTTTACAGTGGAGTGGTGGAAACAAGCATGTGTTTACTTCTCAGCAATCAGCCTGATCTGTGACCCATCAAGAAATGGGACAGAGTGAAATCTGCTCAGATTATTGCATGTCTCGCCTGGCATTCATGTGACTATGATACATGGGACCCAAGCTGTCATGTTTACAGTGGGTTCATCAGTCTTCCCTTGGCAGCCAATGAGCTGAGATATCCAGCCACCTTCCCAAGATCTTTTTATATATACTAGGTCTTAATTTCTCTGGAATTCAGGAAGCAGAGCAATGCAGCAGGGTGGGCAGGAATGGAATGAGTCCCATAAGGGAGATGTGTACAGCTAGCAAATTATTTTTTTTCCCTATTTTGGAAATTCTCAAGGATTTGTGCTGAACAGCTTCAACATTAAAAAAAAAAAAAAAAAAAAAAAAAAAAAAAAGTATTTTTAAATGGCATGCTACTGTCAGCAGCACTTGTATAGGAGAAAGTTCAGCTATGAATAATATTTATAATATTGTACCAGGTGCCTGCAAAAATCCAAGGAGAAAATTTTGTACAGGAGCCAAAGGCTTTGTCACTTTTTTTAGAAGTCAGGTGTGACTCCCTGACAGCAATGCTTTGTCAGGGCAGAGGTCAGTCACAATGATATTACAAAGGCTGCTGTAGATGTATTTCACAGAAGCAGCTTTATTTAAAGCACAGAGAACTTAGGCCTGATATAAAGAAGTGGATTTCAGGTCTAAGCTCCCTCTCTGCCTCAGTCACAGGATGCCTCTTCAGTCTTGGGGAAATCAGGTCAAATTTCTTCTAACCAACTACCCTTAGAAAAAACAAAGATGATGTCCTTCCCTTTTTTTCCCCTTGTATGTGCTGTGGCTGCAATGAGAAATGGTCATAACCCAAGAGCAGTCTTCAGAACATCTACTAACACAGCAAAGCCCATCTTTGCCAACAGGGAAAACCTTTCCACAGAACTCTCTTTACAGAGAGCATCATTATTTGGGCAGCACCTGTAATGGAGAGCTGCAACCTCATCCAAGATCTCGAGGTGGCCTTACCATTTCACAGGGCATCCCCTCAGCAGGCTGATGATTGGACATCCCTCCATTCACCACTGACAGGAGGAAGACAATGTATAGTCTCATGGTTCTGCAGGGAAATTGGTTATTGTTAGATGTCAAACATGGCACCACAGTCAGTTCATGCATGCATGAGAAAGCTGGCATCAGAAAATCACCTATCACAGAAAAGCACATTTGCAGTACAATAAGTTAGAATCACAAAATAATTAAGGTTGGAAAAGGCCAATAAAATCATCTAGTCCTGTTATCAACATCACCATCATGTCCACTCATAGAATCACAGAATCATTAAGGTGGGGAAAGGCCATTAACCACTGACATATCACAACCGTGTTCCTAAAATTAATGCATCCAACTATGTGTATCCGTGTCTCTTAGAGACAAGCAGGAAATAGAGAGATCTACATAAAGACTTGAAAGAAAGGTTCAGGGCATTTTGTGAGGTTGCCCTGGTGTGATTTATTTCAGCTGCTACCTAGGTGATGCCCCAGTCACTCTCTGAAGTCCAGACACCCAAGCTGGACAGTATCTCTGGTGTCACAGAGAAAGACAACTACTCTAGATTAAGGGACCTCTTAGAGCTCCCACAGAGGCAACTCAGTACTTCAACTGCTCTGGAGTTATAGGTGCCAAGTCCTGATGGAAGTCAAGAACTGTCATTCAGAAACAAGAGTTGGGAGCCACTTCCATTTCAATAACAATAGTTTCCACTTCTCTCATCCCACAGTGTCAAAGAGCTTTTACACACATTAGTCATCACCATGCATCTAGTTTTGTTAATATAAACAGCTTAAATTAATAATGGACTGAGAACCTTTTGTCCAAATGTTAGTTTTCCATTTTACACATCCCAAGTATGGGCAAGCTTTAAAAGACATTTGAAAGCTGATGACTTAAAAAGAGTCAGACATGAAATGGAACAGATCAGAACAAAGAAGTCATTAGAAAAATTTGAAAAGCACTCCAGAAAACAGCGCAGAAATAACTGCAAAAAGAATAATGAGATCTGGAAGACCTGCCAGTGGGCATTGAGGGAAAAGGGAAGTGGTTGAATCACTATCCCTAGATATATTTAAAAACCGTTTGGATGTGGTGCTCAGGGACATGATTTAATGGAGGGTTGTTAGGGCAGTTTGGTTAGGTCGTGGTTGGACTTGATGATCTTTAAGGTCTTTTCCAACCTGACCGATTCTGATTCTATGTTTCTAAATGGACAACCAATTCTATGAGCTCCAGCATGAAAGGTCAATGGCCCCTACATCACTTCTCCCTTAGAAATGCTAAATGAAAGAGTTTTTCAGGAAGAGATGAGAGCCTGTATCTCTCAGGGTGTCCACTAGCCAACAAGTAGTTTGATCTTTGGGATCCCAAAGAGTCATTTAGCTTCTAGCAAATGATGTCAGAGAGGGGAAAAAAGTATCAACATAGTGTTAGGATCACTTTCCAGTTTTTAAAAAGAACTTGTTAACAAGAAGGAAGTCAATTTTTTACATGATAGATGGTGGCAGGACAAAAGGTTTTAAACTAAAAGAGGAAAGATTTTGATTGGATGTAAGGGGAAAGTTTTTCACTGAGCATCTCTGGAGTTGCTCAAGGCCAGGTTGGATGGAACCCTGGGCAGCCTGAGCTAGTGCCTCATTTAGTGGTTGGCAAAACTGCTCATAGAAGGGGTACTGGAACTGGATGATCTTTGAGATTCCTTCTAACCTAAGCCATTCTGTAATTTGATTCACAGAATAGAATTGTTTGAGTTTAGGGATGTGAAAAACAATAAGAAAACCTTCTACAGGTACATTGGCCAGAAGAGACAGGCCAAAACGGGCGTACCTACTTTGGTAAATTTAAAAGGAGAACTGGCTTCAACAGATGAAGAGAAAGCTGAGGTGCTGAATGAGTTCTTCACCTCGGTCTTCACTGGTGGCCAGGATTCTAGTCTTTTTCACGTCCCTGAACCCTGCATCCCCAAACCTCTATGTGGGGACCAAGGAGGTAAATCCCTCCCCACTGTAAGGGCAGAGCAAGTCCGAGAGTGCCTCCTTAGACTGAATGAATACAAGTCTATGGGGCCAGATGGCGTGCATCCCAGGGTCCTGAAGGAGCTGGCTGAGGTGGTTGCCGAGCCGCTCTCCATCATATTTGAGAAGTCGTGGCTGTCAGATGAGGTCCCGGACGACTGGAGGAAGGGTCACATCACTCCCATATACAAGAAGGGGAGCAGGGAGGACCCGGGGAACTACAGGCCAGTGAGTCTCACCTCCGTGCCTGGGAAGATCATGGAACAGATCCTCCTGGACAACGTGCTCGATCACACAAAGAATGAGCATGTGATCCGAGACAGCCAGCACGGCTTCACCAAAGGAAGGTCATGCCTAACTAATCTTGTGGCCTTCTATGATGGAGTGACGGCATTGGTGGACGAAGGGAAGGCGACCGATGTCATTTACCTGGACCTGAGCAAGGCCTTTGACATGGTCCCCCACCACATCCTCATCTCCAAATTGGAGGGAAGTGGATTTGATGGGTGGACGACCCGATGGATAAGCAATTGGTTGAAAGGCCGCAGACAGAGAGTGGTGGTCAATGGCTCTATGTCCAGGTGGAGGCCGGTAACAAGTGGTGTCCCCCAAGGGTCTGTCTTGGGACCGGTGCTCTTTAACATCTTTATTAATGACATCGATGAGGGAATTGAGTGCACCCTCAGCAAGTTTGCTGACGACACCAAGCTGAGTGGTGCAGTCGATACGGTGGAAGGAAGGGATGCCATTCAGAGGGACCTCGACAGGCTGGAGGGCTGGGCTCGGGTGAACCTAATGAGGTTCAACACGGCAAAGTGCAAGGTTTTGCATTTGGGCCGGAAGAACCCCAGGCACCCGTACAGGCTGGGAGGAGTGGTCCTTGAGAGCAGCTTGGCAGAGAAGGACCTGGGGGTCCTGATGGACGAGAGACTGAACATGAGCCAGCAGTGCACTCTGGCAGCTCGAAAGGCAAATGGGATCCTGGGCTCCATCAGGAGAGGGGTGGTCAGCAGGGACAGGGAGGTGATTGTCCCTCTCTACTCAGCTCTTGTGAGGCCCCATCTGGAGTACTGTGTCCAGGTGTGGAGCCCTCAGTACAAGAAAGACATTGAGATTTTGGAAAGGGTCCAGAGGAGGGCGACTAAGATGATCAGGGGGCTGGAGCACCTCCCCTATGAGGACAGGCTGAGGGAGTTGGGCTTGTTCAGCCTGGAGAAGAGAAGGCTGCGGGGTGACCTCATTGCAGCCTATCAATACCTGAAGGGAACCTACACCCACGAGGGGAGTAAACTCTTCAAAAGGGCTGACAACAGCAGGACTAGGGGAAATGGATCCAAGTTGAAGGAGGGAAGATTTAGGTTGGATGTTAGGGGGAAGTTCTATACAAGGAGAGTGGTTAGGCCCTGGAACGGGCTGCCCAGGGAGGTTGTGGATGCCCCGTCCTTGGATGTGTTTAAGGCCAGGTTGGACAGGGTCCTGGGCAACCTGATCTGAATGTGTGTGTTTGGTGGCCCTGCTAGGCAGGGGGGTTGGAACTACATGATCCTTGAGGTCCCTTCCAACCCGGGTGATTCTGTGATTCTGTGATTCTGTGAGTTGGAAGGGACCTTTAAAGGCCATCTGGTCTAACTCTTCTGCATTGAACAGGAACACCCACAGCCCAATCAGGTGCCCAGAGCCCCATCCAGCCTGACCTTGAGTGTCTCCAGGGATGAGACATCCACAATCTCTCTGGGCAACCTGTTTCAGTGCTTCAAGTGTTAGTTAGGATATGGAAAGCACAGTCCTGTGAAGCTGGAGACGGCAAATCCTTCAATCCAAAGCAATCTGGTAGGAATTCAGATTCTCAGACTTTGTCAAAGTGCTTTCAGCTCTGCTTTATTGGATGGGAAAATTATATGCTCAGGGACTCTATCTCATTTAAAGTGAATAAGTTTTATTAAAGCTGTGGTCACCACTGATGTGAGCTCCAGATAACACCTCTTTATGACACCCTCTATAGCAAACATGCTGAATGTGTCTGCATTAATACAACTTCTTCATTCAACCCCTTACAGAAAAATATAAGCTGATCCTGTCCATATCCCAAGCCACACAGACACATGCCAGCTCCCAAATGGAAGCAACATAGCAGTGCTTAGCTAGCATGGCTCATAAGCCTTTCCAGGAGTGAGCCTGCATCCTGCAAGCTCCAACTGTACACCAATCCCATTCTCACTTGCCTCCAAAAGATAGCAAACGTCAGTGGCTTCCACCCATAAAATGTCATGAAGCTGGAAACAAAAGAGAGGAGATAGGATCGTTCCCAGCTGGTGGAGATCCCTCCACTTAGTCACTGCTTGAGAGATGCAGCTGAGAGCCGTGCTTCCATGCAGCAATGGCAGTTGTTCAACAGTGATAACAATTGGTTGACTAAGGGATTAATCTCCTGAGGGTTCCATCAGGTCAGTGCTCAACATGGCAGTAAATTCTGCTCAGGAGATGCACACCAAGACCTTACAAGTGGGTTCTGTGTCTTAGCACACCGTATCCTAGCTGGGCGTATTTGTATAAACTTCTGAGTGAAACAATGCACATCTCTTCCCAACCAGAGAAAGAGGTATGTACTGGGAAAAGGGGAACTAGATCTTTAATTCATGCTTTGTTTTTCAGATTGCATATCCCTTGCAGTTTAGAGGGACAACTAATGATGAAAAATGATCCGGGATCCAGAGATGAAAGAGCTTGGAGCTTGTCTTTGGAGCTCAGCAGCAGGATAAGAAGCCTGTTCCTCTTTCTAAAATTAGACCAAGGATGTTCATTCTCATTTCTTTTAATTAATGTTTGCAAAATGCTTCACAATCATCCCATGGAAGAAGGAATTGCTTGTACCACCATCTATGATGTCTCTGCTGCTCTTACTCCATTCTCCATTGCTCAGACTACAGGGGGTGTTCGCCTGGGGATGCTGTGCAAGAGGGATTGCGTGGGAGTGAGAGGAGAAAATGATGTTTGTTGTTTGGGTTTGCTGAAACTGAGAGAAAAGACAAACACGCTGATGATGTGTGAATTATAAGGCTTTACTCAGAGCCTTCGAACGAAAATTATTTCTGCCTAAATCCAACAAATTAAGATGATGAAATCTCCATGGATGTCACCCACAAAAGGCACCATCCCGATGGACATTGTGCAACTCATGCAGTTTGCTTTGTCCTCTCTTGTCACGATATAAAAATGATCCCTTTTCATTTTAAATGATAACCTTAGCAAAATCCTTGTCTTAACGTGTTCTTAAACTTCATAAATTATACATTTACAAAGCAATTTGGAAATTGAAGTATCTGAACGCACGAACATGACTTAATGTCTTACTACATAAAATAGATCTGTAGTATCAAGGACTCTGCCCCTCAAAGTGTTTCTGTGTTAGCTGTCACCTTGGAGCTCTGAAGCTGCAGAACATGATGTTTTCCCTACAAATATGAGTCGTAGAATCATAGAATCATAGAATCATAGAATGGCCTGGGTTGAAAAGGACCACAATGATCATTGAATTTCAACCCCCTGCTATGTGCAGGGTCGCCAACCACCAGCTCAGGCTGCCCAGAGCCACATCCAGCCTGGCCTTGAATGCCTCCAGGGCTGAGGCATAGAATCATTAAGGTTGGAAAGACCTCTAAGATCACCAAGTCCAACCCCAACCCATCCCCACAATGCTCACCAACCATATTCCTCAGTGCCACATCCTCACAGTTCTTGAACACGTCCAGGGATGCTGACTCCACCACCTCCCTGGGCAGCCTGTGTCAATGTGTTGCCACTCTTTCCAGGCCCATTTCTTCCACACAGACTCTCAGGCACCCTGTCCCAAACCTGTAGCGTTGTTGTGATGCACCTGTAGTGATGTAAATGCAAGACCTGGCTCTTGCTCTTGCTGAAACTTATATAATTGTCCTCCACCTATTGGTGCATCCTGTCCAGATCTCTCTATAAGGCCTTCCTAACCCCAGGCAGATGAACACTTCCTCCCAGCTTGGTGTCATCTACAAACTTACTGAGGGTGTACTCAATCCCCATCTCCAGATCATCAATAAAGATATTAAACAGGATGGGTCCCAACACTCACAGAAATTCTCCTCCTGAGGCATTTTTCAGTTTTCAGCTGCCCAGCTGAGGAGCTCCTCCTGCTTATGCTTCTAAACAATATCTAGACCTACTACAGCAATATTTGGTATGACACAGTGCTGTGTCCCAATGTCTCTTCCCTCTTGGCAGGTCACAGCTATCCACTGAAGGCTTACAAAAGCCCCATTGTTCTGCTGTAGGACATCAAAACCCAATCCTGTTGCAGTTTTCCATATGTGAGAATTACTCAGTCTCATCTACAGTTGTAAAATTGAAGTGGATTAAATGGGTGATTCTCCCGAGAATTCTTATCAAGTAGGTCAATAGAAAAAGTGTATAGAAAAAGCACAGTACTCATGCCATGTCAGCATGTTCAGAGATGGAAGGGCATAGGCAATGATTTACCCCCAAAACATATCTGAAAACCAAGGAAGAGGTCAGATTTAAACACAGTTCATTCAGTTCCGACTGCAGAACAACACTTACTTCCATCTCTTTTACGGTATTAAACCTGAGACCATTCACATATGCTATTTGCAGTTAACAATACCAGACCTTCCAAATTTTCCCTAAAAGTAATTCTTGTTGCTGCTTAGGCAATTAACAGTGATGTTCTCCTGTGCTAAAGAAGGATTATATTTGAACTGCAGAATCCTAGAATCACAGAATCATAGAATACCCTGCAGTGGAAGGGACCCACAAGGGTTGTCAAGTTTAGCTCTTTCTAGAGAAGACATCAAGTATAAACAAAACTCCCCAGGTCTGGTACTTATTTACACAAGAAGATTTGCTGCTCTGTTAGAATCATGAAATCTTTTAATAGTTAAGGTTGGTAATGACCACAAAGATCAGTAAGATCAATCCCAACACACTCCTCCCATGCCCACTGACCATGTCCTTCAGTGCCACATCTCCATGGCTCTTGAACACCTCCAGGTACGATGACTCCACCACCTCCCTGGGCTCCTGTGACAATACATAACCATTCTTCCTAAGAATAAACTTTTCCTAATATCCAGCCTGAGCCCTCACAGTAAAAAGAGTCCTCAGGTTTAAAAAGAGTGAATATTCCACATTTACCTGGTTCCAATGGCTTCTCACATCCCCATACACTGCTTGTCATCACTTTAAAAAGCATATCCAGCCCTCCAACAAAGATTCAGCCCTGATAGAAAGAAATTAATCTTCAGATTCACCTTCACCCGTTTGAGACACCAAGAGACAACTTCAGATTGAAGACATTCTCAGGGAAACAACCTCATGTGGGTCAGTGTCTGCTTTTAGTTAAGTCGCTGGTCTTCCTGCTGCCTTTTGCTGTGTCCTACAGCAACCACTGTGAGTTCAGAGCAGCGTCATTCCCTGCGCAGCATCCTGAGGTCCTCACGCCAGGCAGGGGAGGAAACAAGGATTTTTTTACAGGGAAGCTTCTGGGATTGAGGCGTGGGGAATGAGTGACTTATTGTCACCAATGCCATTGTTTGGCTGCACACGCAGGGTGGGCGGAATGTTTATTTTAGGGTTTTGTGTCTGTGTGTTTCATTCCTGAAGGGTTGCAGCCTCTGACCCCTGCACCTAAAACACATGTAGGAAAACAGCTGCTTGGGGGTTAAAGGTTTAAATATCAAGGCTGATAAACAGAAAGCCCGTAATCTTCAAATCTGAACTCTTCCTCTTGTTTTTGCTGCCCACAGCGTCCTATGATCTGATGGCAGGATGGGCGTTCTGTGTCTAGAATCATCAGAGTTGGCAAAGCCCACCCATGATCATCCAGTCCATCGCCTAGTCAGCTACAGTGCACCTGAACTGAAGATTTATTGGGGTTTTCCAGGCATAAAGCAAGGCTTCAGGAGATTGATAGAGTCGGAGTGGTCCAAGCTTCTGTACATCGTACTGCTCAGTGTTGCCAACCTATTAGTAGAAAATCCTATTGCAAAAGGGATGCTTTTGCTGTGATGTTTGCGGGCTCTGCTTTTTATTTATTATTTTCTGCTGCCCTCTAGGGCTGGAGCAGCAGTCTAATTGCTGGTTTCCTCACTTCCTTTTTCTAATTTTGGACTGATTTTGGAAAACACTCCTTTACACTGATTTCACCACTCTTGTCCCCCAGGCTCAGGAGCCGGAAGTGTTGCAACACGCTTTTCCTGTGGTTGGGATACACCAGAACTGGGCTCTTATCAAACTGTTTGCTTGCAGTGCACCCCAAAATGAGAGATTAAATGCTATGAAGATGTGTCAGTATGTGTGTAGCTGGGAAGGGGTACAGTTAGGTACAGAAGATAGAAAAGCACAGGCTTAACTCTCAACAGAAATGCCTGCCAGTGAGAATGTCACTAACCTGGACCTGAGGACCATTGTGGTGTCTGAAGGTTACAATGCCTTTTGGATGCTCTGGGTTGCATCATCAGCATCATGCAATACTGCTTGAAACTTGCAAATACTTTCGCAAAGAAAACATCATGTATCAAATATCCAAAAAAAAAAAAAAAAAAAAAAAAAGATCAAAAATGTCAAATATTTTTCCTTCAGAAAGAGCACATTCAGGTTAGGTATCAGGAAAAAAGTACAAGAAAGACAGGGAGCTGTTGGAGAGGGTCCAGAGGAGGGCCACAAAGATGATCAGAGGGCTGGAGCACCTCCCCAGTGAGTTCAGGCTGAGGGAGCTGGACTTATTCAGAAAAGAAGGCTGCAGGGTGACCTCATTGCAGCCTTTCAATACCTAAAGGGAGCCTACAAACAGGAGGGGAATCAACTCTTTGAAAGGGTTGATGAATGCAGGACAAGGGAAAATGGTCTGAAGTTGAGGGAGGGGAGATTTAGGCTGGATGTCAGGCAGAAATTCTTTACAGAGGGAGTGGTGAGGTGCTGGAACAGCTGCCCAGAGAGGCTGTTGATGTTCCATCCCTGGAAGTGCTCAAGGCCAGATTGGATGGGGCCCTGGACAGCCTGGTCTAGTATTGAATGTGGAGGTTGGTGGCCCTGTTGGTGGCAGGGGGGTTGGAGTTTGATGATCCTTAAGGTCCCTTCTAACCCTGGCCATTCTGTGATTCTGTGAAAAATTATTCTCCAGAAGAGTGGTAATGCACTGGCCAAGGCTGCCAGGGAGGTGATGGAGACATCCTTGGAGACATTCAATAACCATGGAGGTGTGGCACTAAAGGACGTGGTCAGTGGGCATCGTGGGGATGGGTTGGGGTTGAACTTGATGCTCTTAATGGTTGTTTCCAACCTCAGTGATTCTATGATTAAATCTGACTTGTATTTGGAGATGGAATACAAATCTACCTACAACAAAGAGTGGTGAGTGCCTTGAATGACTGCAGCCTCGCATTCTCTGATGCCTGAATCTTCAGAGCACTTTGCCAAGCTTGAATTTGCTGGTAAAATCACAGGGTTACATTGCATTTCTTTACCTTAGGCTGATTTATTGAGTGGCCACACAGTTGTGTCATCTCAACTGTGAAGATGAGCCTGGACAGAAACAAATGGCAAAGCAGGAGGGAAGGGCATGCACTGATTCTGCTGCTCAGGACTTTACGTCATTAAAACCACTGCCTTACGGGCACAGCAATCACCCTGGGAACGATCAGCCATAGCGAGATCCTTACTATCTTTGCCCTCTTTCATAAAAAGGATCAGAAAACAAAAGCTTCAGACCCTGGAGCCTTTGGATGACTTCCTATTGTCAATATTTTCATGCTGTTTTCTACCCAGCAGTTTACACCTTAAAAGGCTTTTGAACCATGTGTACTTGGCATCTGCAGTCTCTGTCCCCAGAGGTGTAGGGTCCAGGAAAGGTCCAGAAAAGGGTAGATATAGCACTGAGGGACATGTTTAATGCTCATGGTAGGTTGGACTTGTTGATCTTTCCAATCTCAATGATTCAATGCAGTATCCATCAGATGGATTGGGTGGTGCTCAAGACCAGGTTGGATGGGGGCTTGGGCAGCCTGAGCTGGTGGGGGGCAACCAGCCCATGGCAGGGGTTGGAATTGGGTGTGCTTTGAGATCACTTCCAACCTAAGCCAATCTATGGTTCTATGATTCTATGATTCTGTGATTCTATGATTCTATGATTCTATGATTCTATGATTCTATGATTCT